TAACTACTTCTCTCTCTAACTTAATGCTAAATTCCATCATTATGATCACTTTGCCCTGGAAAAGCCTTAATTTCCAGTTTGCTGATCAGCTCTGCTTCATTGCACAAAACAAGTTCTAATGTGGCCTGTTCCCTGGTTGGCTCCTCGGCATACTGATCTAGATAATTATCCCTAATACATTCTATAAACCCTTCCTCTATCATACTTTTCCCAATTTGGTTGACCCAATCTATGTGCAGATTAAAATCACCTACAATTAATGTTTTTCCTTTTTACTACATGCTCTGCTAATTTCCTGATTTATATCTTGAGAGATACTGTGACTGCTGTTCGGGGGTCTATAAACTACTCCCACTAGAGATTTCTGCCCCTTGTTGTTATGTACCTCTACCCGTACTGACTGTACTTCCTGCTTTTCTGATTTAAAATTTTTCCTCTCTACTGTTTTTATCCCATCCTTTATTAGCAGGGCCACCAACCCTCCTCATTTACCACATTGCCTATCTTTTCTATACGTCACATACCCTGGAATATTTAGCTCCCACCTTTGATCTCCCTGTAACCATGTCTCAGTGATGGCTACCAGATCATACCCGTTTGTTTCTATGTGTGCATTTAACTCATCTATCTTGTTTCGAATGCTTCGTGCATTCAGATATAGCACCTTTAATTCTGACTTTGGGCTATTAGTCCTGTTCACCAGTACCCTATCCCTGGGCTTCCTTTCCCCACTTGACACACTTTGCTCATCTCCCTTGTTAATCTGCTCTCCCACTTTTATCGGTCCTAATTTTGATTGTGACGGATTACATGTGATTAAATTTACCCCCCCCACCCTTAGTAGTTTAAAGCCTTATCTACCTCCCTATTTATTTGTGTTCCAGGACATTTGTCCCTGCCCTGTTTAGGTGGAGTCCATTCCTTTGGAATAGCTCCTGTCTCCCCCAATACTGGTGCCAGTGACCTATAAGTTGAAACCCCTGCCCTCCGCACCACTCTTTCAGCCAGGTATTCAGTTCTTTAATTTTTTTTTGCCTGCACCAATTTGCCCCTGGCTCAGGTAATAATCCCGATATTAATACCTTCGAAGTTCTACTCTTTAGCTTAACTCCCAATTCCCGGAATTTGCTCCTCAACTCATCCCTACCAGTCCAAACTATATCATCGGTCCCTATGTGAATCATAACAATTGGATCCACTCCCTCTTGCTTCAAATTTTTCTCCAGCCCAGAAGTGACGTCCTTCACCCTGGCCCCAGGAAGGCAACAGAGTCTTCTTGTCTCCCTGCTAAAGCTGCAGAAAAGTGCGTCAGTCCCTCCTGACTGTCTCATCCCCAATTACCACTATATTCCTTCTGACTATTCCCCTTTGTGTGGCCTCCTGTATAGAGGTGTTGGGGTAAGTTTGCCCATCTTCCTCACAGACTTCCTTGTCCACACGGGTTGCAAGTATTTCATACCTGTCGGACAAGGTTAAAGCCTGGGGTTCCTCTGCCCCTCTCTTTCGGGTTCCTTACGCACCTGTCTGACCGTCATCCAGTCCTGTCCGTGGCTGGTAACGGAATGTTCTCTGGGACTCGGGGGAGTGTCTGGCTCCAGGATGAAACTGTCCAGGAAGCTTTCCCCATCTCTAATGCTGCGCAGTGTCTCCACCTGAGACTCCAGCTCAGCTATTCCAAGCTGGAGCTTCCTCAGTTGCAGACATTTGCTGCAGATGATGTCGCCCGGGCTCAGGTTGCCCTCCATCAGCTCCCGCATACCACATTCCTCACACATCACCTGCCAGGCCATTCTCTCCTCTCACTCTCTTTATCCCTATATTGTCGTTAGAAGATATACTACAACCTTACACCTACTTCCCCCTCTGCACCTAATTCCCACTCTCACCCAATTCCTTCTCACTCTGGCCTCACCTCACTCTGGAGGATGATTAGCCAGGTTTTCTGAATAGTGCATGAGATCTTTAATGTTCACCTGAATAGCCAGACTTCACTTTGGCTTAACGTCTCATCTGATGGATGGCACATCCGATGTTGAATCACTCCTCCAGCACTTTAGCCTAGATTATGAGCATAAAGTCCAGTTACAAAATATCAGACATTACATAGAATCCTATTAAATATTAAATATTGTGGAGTCCTGAAGCTCAGTGGTTAGAGCACTCGCTTTGCAAGCGAGAGACCTGAGTTCAATTCCAGGCAGGGCGAAACCTTGGGCAAGTTTCCTTACTCCACACAGAGCCTAATAATAATCCCTCCAAAACCAAAAACAATAATAAATTGATCATTTTCAATCTACGATTGTTTGTGGGACATTGCTGTGTGCAATTGGCTGCCGCGTTCGCCCACAAATATACAGTCAATTCACTTTACAGTGTGTTCTGTGAAGCGCTTTGGGACGTCCTCCTGACGTGATATATCAAATGCAAGGATTATTATTATTATTTATAAATCCCATTCCAATTCATTTTGGAATTTCAACTGTAAAGGTTCATGGATTGAAAGTCCAAGTAACTGCAGTGTAAACCAATACATCCTCTCAGTCATAATAGTCTGCTTTATTTACCCTAGATGTCAACTTGCTTATAGAAATAGCTACATGGACCAGAATTATATAACTAAGCCAAGAATGGGATAAGACATGTTTTACAAGAGGTTACAAATAATAGCATGATAAGAGGTTACAAATAATAACCAGTTGCAACCAGACAGAAGGCCTTGGGATAGAATTGACATTTAATGAATCAAGTGCAGGGAGGAGATCATTTAGACATTAAACGTAAGTTTACTTGTATAATCTGGTACAAAAGACGAAAAGTACTTAATAAGTGACTCATTCTTAATTAAAGGGTTGCTAAAAATGTGAGACTATGGTTTACAATGAGATTAAATAGGGTTGGGAGGAGTGGAATTGAATTAGTACAGCAGAGGGTTTGCCATCCAGAGTCCAATCGCTTCAGAGTTGGATAAGCAGGGAGAGAGTGCACAATCCGTCTCAGATACATGAAATTCTCTGTCATTTGTTTGGATACTCTTTCATATGGTGATGGGTTTCCTAGTTTGTCAGACACCCAACTAACCAAAAAAGTACTTGCAACAACAGCAACTTGCATTTATATAGCTCCCTTCACGCGGGGCAGCATCTCCAGAGAACTGCGAGCTGGATGCTATTATAATATAATAATAATAATAATAATCCTTGCATTTGATGTAGCGCTTTTCATGTCTTCTCGACGTCGTAAAGCTCTTCACAGAATAGACTGTAAAGTGAATTGACCGTATATTTGTGGGTGAAATGCGGCAGCCAATTGCGCACAGCAGTATCCCACAAAGTCCAGGGTTGAAAATGACCAATTTATTATTGATTTGTTTTGGAAGATTACTATTAGGATTGTGGAGTAAGGAAACTTGCCCAAGGTTTCGCCCTGCCTGGAATTGAACCCAGGTGTCTCGCTTGCAAAGCGAGTGCTCTAACCACTAAGCTACAGGACTCCACGTATTATCATAAGTACTTGTCATACAGTATTTAACTATTTCCATGATTTATGTTTTTGTACTGCCTTCATTTTCCACTATAATAAATGTCAACCACTAACCTGTCACTCATATTTTGTCACTGCACAGCCACTCAGTCCCATCACATATGGGTAACGAATGATACCATCAGTTATTAACAACTGGAAACGGCAATCTTAATTGCAGACTAAATTATACATTCCTATTCAATGCTATGTGAAACTACTTCATCAAACATTACACAAAGCATCCTTTATCTGTTCAGTACATTCATTTAAAGGCAAATGTGACATATTACTGTGGGTAATTAGCTGCTGTGTTTGCTTAAAAGTACTGTAATTCCATTTGATAGCAATTACTTATAATATAATAATAATAATCCTTGCATTTGATATAGCGCTTTTTCACGTCTTCTCGACGACTCAAAGCACTTCACAGAATAGACTGTAAAGTGAATATTTGTGGACGAAACGCGACAGCCAATTGCGCACAGCAGTGTCCCACAAACAGTCATGGGTTGAAAATGACCAATGTATTATTGTTTTGGAGGATTATTATTAGGCGTGTGGTGCTTTGCGAAGTTTCAACATCAGCTGCTATATTAAATGCAGGATTCTTCCTTTATTATTAAACTTTTTCTTAAAAGATTATAACATGTTCTTATATTTATTTTGGAGTGAAAGCTAAGATAACTTAGATACAGTGGGTAATTTAGGATTTAAACTGAAAAGAATATTGTATAGAACCTTATCCATTCAGAAAACAAAAGTGCAGATTGAGGTTGTGGCATTAGACTTCACACATGCTAGCAACAATAAAATAACAATGCTTGCATTTGATGTAGCGCCTCATCACAACTTCGAGAAATCTCAAAGCGCTTCACAGAATATACTGTAAAGTGAATTGCCTTTATACTTTGTGAGCGAAACACTGCAGCCAATTGGGCACAGCAATGTCCGTCAAACAGTTTGGGTTTGATTGACCAAATATTAATATTAACAAGAGTGTTAACACAGCATTCAGACACCAGTGGACCAATAGGTGGATCATATACACTTTGGGACAATTTGCTTTGCTTATTCTTTTGTCTTATTTATTGTCACAAGCATTATTTTGATATGCTGGATTTGTTTTACTTTTGGGATTGCTACAGTGACTAAATACAACAGAATTCGTAAAACTTCCGATCTGAAACTCTTTCTCATCTTAACACAATAGAGTACAGCTGCACAGTTATTGAGGTTTGTCAGATTTTACTCCTCACTCAGACCCTACCATCAACAATACAGGAAATGGAAGATATTGGGTGATGTTATTCGTGAGCAGGAGGAACAAAAAAAAATACTGTTGCTATGTTTTAATTTGTTGGTGGTTTTCTCTCCTTATTAGTCACCGCCAGATTGTGTAAGCTACCTGGTCAGGTGTATAAAGCCAGCTGGTACAGAAAGCTTTTCACTAGTTGCTGGAATCCTCAGTGTGAAACAAGATGAGCCACTTGAAGCCTCCTGCCTTACTGGTGCTGCTCAGTGCAGTTCTGTGTTCAGCTCTGCCCAGATTCATTACAAGGGAACAATTCAGTGCTAATGACTGGAACCGCTGTCTGGTATGCAACCACAAAGATTATATACATCGTATTGTCCTGATGCAACTGTTTATTTTTGGTGGTGGGGGGGAGAAAAAAAATGCTAACACTGTAGGACAATTATGAACTGTTTCCAATTGAAATAAAGTTCTATGTTTGCTTTCTATCTATGTAGCAATACCTAAGCAGGTTTTACAACATGAACACTGGAGAAGCCACTTTAAGCAGTAATGGTAATCTCTTAGATGGAAAGATTAAAGAAATGCAAAATTTCTTTGGTCTCCAAGTGACTGGGAGCCTCAACCACCAGACCTTGGAAATGATGGAAATGCCTCGTTGTGGTTACCCTGATGTTGAAGAATACAGTCATTTTCCAGGACGCCCAAGGTGGCCCAGTAACACAATAACCTACAGGTACTGACCCTGTCTGTAAGCACAACCAGCTGCTCAAAACAATTAATAGCAAAGTAAAAAAAATATATATATTTTTTGTTTTCCCTCAACAGAATTCTGAGCTATACGTGGGAGCTGAGGAGGGAAGAAGTGGATCAAGTTATTTCCATGGCATTTAAAGTGTGGAGTGATGTTACTCCTTTACGTTTTGTCAGACAGACCTCTGGACAGGCTGATATCATGATAATGTTCGCATCTGGCTGTAAGTACAATGATAAGAATATCCCCCCCCCAAAAAAAAACTTAGAACATAAAAATAATATAACAATAAAACATATAATAATACTATAATAACAGGATATATTATATAGAAATTAGAACATAGTAATAATATTACAATATAATTATAAAAATAATATAATAATACTATAATAATAACAGGACATATGTAGAACTTAGAACACAATAATATAACAACATAATAATAAAAAAAACTATAATAACAGGACATATTACATAGAACTTAGAACATAGCACATAGTGTTGAATGTATGTGTACCTAATTTTCTAACCTTGTGTTTATGATTTGAATTTGTATTTCTAGATCACGGTGACTATGACTCATTTGATGGGAGGGGTGGAATTCTGGCTCATGCTTATGCTCCTGGACGTGGTATCGGAGGTGATGCACACTTTGATGAAGATGAACAGTGGACACTGTCCAGATATGGTATGGACTTTCTCAATACTATTATTAGCTGTCGTGAAAAAGACTGGGCAGGTTAGAGCTTTTCTCTCGGGAAATGAGATGATTGAGAGGAGATCTGACAGAGGCAGAGTGGTCCGAGCTGGACAAACAATATGAAAGCTTGCCAGACAGTGCTATCAATGGCAACCTGTGCTGTTTTAGCCGCTTACAGTACCCCAATACATACTTGGGACCCAAAGCCTTGGCTGTTGCCAATGTGTGCCAAATACTTTCTGGGATTAAGTAAGCAGGTTGAGTCCGTCCAGAGAGAGAGTCCGCATTCCATTCCAATAAATATATCAGGAATTTCCATATATTGGTGGTATCTGTTTAGTTTGGATACTCTTAAGCATGATGATGGTTTCTGCATATGTCAAGACACCCATCTGAACAAAAAAAAGACAAACAGGTGGATACTGTTCCATCCAACTCGAACTATTATTATGATGCCTACTTTGTATTTTAGATAAGGTTAGCAGAATACTATGTAGCTTTATTTACAGGCAGTTGTAAATGTGAGAATGTTTGACCACTGCAGTTACAATCCACATTCTAGTATTCTAGACTAAGGAAAATAGACTGATTGCAAGCAATGTAATCCTATAGTGTATTGGTTGGAGCACTCACCTTCCAGTGCCTTGGGACGTCCTCCCTATGTCAAAGGCACTATATAAATGTAATCTTGTTGTTGTTGTTGTTGAGAGGACCTTGGTTTGGTTCCCAGGCAGGTTGAAACCTTGGCCAAATTTTCTTACTCCACATGCCTCTGTTTACATTAGCAGTAAGTAGGAACCTGGTTGTTACTTGGTTGACAGATTGCTTTTCTGGGGGATCTTTCAAAAAAAACAAAATCGCGGTCACTCAATCACTCAATCCATGACTGTTTGTGGGACAGTGATGTGTGCAATTGGTTGCCGCAGCTCGCCCACAAAATGTACTGTCAATTCACTTCACAATATATTCTGTGAAGCACTTTGAGACACCTCAAAGACTGTGATAAGGCACTATAGCAAATGCAAGGATTATTATTATTATGTGTAAGTTACCATAATTTTAAACTGATTGATGTTGAAAGCAAAATAAATGCAACACTTTTTCATTTCAATAGATATAATTTCAAAATTAAATGCATACATTTTTCTAACTTTGCTCGTACAGTTTTTTCAGTCTAAGATATTTTAAATACAGTACTGTATTTTAACAAAATGTTGTAACAAGAACACCTTCATAGGGATCAACTTGTTCCTTGTTGCGGCACATGAATTTGGTCATGCTCTGGGACTCGGCCACTCAAGTGATAGATCAGCTTTGATGTTTCCCACCTATCAGTATGTGAATGTGAATGGATACAGACTTCCAGCTGATGATGTTCGAGGCATCCAGTCAATTTACGGTAAGTTAAAACGGGTTTGGGGGGGGGAGGGTGGGGGAGCTGTGGAAACCTATCACCAAGTTACGGTATGGATTTCCACATATGTATGCCCTGTTCACATCCCAATTTCCCTGTGTCTAGAACTGAAATTTCATAGGATTACTAGGTGTTAAGTAGCATTTAGCTTTTAGAATACTCTAATGAATCTTTTGCTTTACAATTACAATTCATTATCCGATTCCTCAAATGTCAAATGTACTCAGCAGTAGATGTTCTTAGGTTTGTGAAGGATTTGTGTTTGCTTCAGCCAGAAAGAAAAAAAATGTAGTTGCTTTTTGTTTCTCTGAAGCTCAGATTTTTTTGAGGTCAAACTCTTCTCCTGCCTTTTAGGAGCTCATCTGAACCGAAGCCCTCAACCAACAATTCCAACAAAACCCCAGACCACACCATCTCCGCCAAAGAACCCCAATGATAAATGTGATCCGAACTTGTCATTTGATGCAGTTACTAGTCTGCGTGGAGAATTTTGGTTTTTTACAAATGGGTATGATTAGCTTTTTAATGTTTAATTATTTCTGATGTAACAGAATCCCTCCAAAAACAAAAAAACAATAATAAATTGGTCATTTTCAATCTACCACTGTTTGTGGGACATTGCTTTGCGCAATTGGCTGCCGCGTTCACCCACAAATATACAGTCAATTCACTTTACAGTGTGTTCTGTGAAGCGCTTTGGGACGTCCTCCTGACGTGAAAAACGCTATTCAAATGCAAGGATTAAATTAAATTAAACTTACTAAACCATAGACATTAAAAAAATTAATCAATTTAAGTACTGTGAAATTAGCAATGTTAATAATACTGCTGAATGGTACTCATTGAATAGTATTTATGAATGGGATGAATCATAGTGCATTTAGAAATAGGTTCTTGTTTTCTAATTCTATCGACATAGTAAGTTTAACAGGTCCACAAGTGCTGTTTTTATGAAGATGGTGCTCTTTAAATGATTGAACTGGTAATTTCATTCTGCAATTATTTTATCCCCCAAGAAAGAATAGGAATATATTATTTGGTCCATTGAGCCTGCTGTTAATTCAAGGCAGGTCTTCTTTTCAGTTCCATTCTTCTCCATATTCCTAATACTCTTACTTCACAAGTATTGATCTATATCTCTTTTTAATACAGTATCTCAATAGATTCTGCATCTTTGGCCTTCTAGTGCAGCAATTTCATTATTCTCACAATTTGTTTGTGTGTGAAGAAATGTACGTTGGATTTAATTTTAACTGGCTTGGCTCTAATTTTAAGATAATAATAATCGTTCCATTAGCAACCCGCCACATCAAAATGTTTCAAAATACTTTGCAGAGTTTTCTGTAAAGTGCAATGACTGTGTATGTGTAGGCAAACATGCCAGTCAATTTTGCGCACGGCAAATGTCCCACAAACAGCCAAGAAATGAACGACCAACTTTGTATCTGGAAAATTGTTGGCCAGGACATCAGGAGAAACTTAATGGCACATCCAAAGATCTGACAGAAGCTTTTAGTTGAATTGAATTTACCCAAAGAAATTGTACTGCACTATTTTTATTTAATAAGAGCTTGATAACAATCAAACCCAATCATGATTTCAGTAAATAAAATCCTTGTGACTACCTTACACCCATCTTTTCTTTATTCTGAAATCAGAGTATTTCCTTGGGCTGCCCTGTGGTGGATAGAGCTTATAGACAAGTGCTATAGAACGCTACCCTTTCTTGTTGTTGTTCTTGTTATGGACAAAGAGTTTGCTGGTTCGAATCTGTGCTGAGTTTGCTGATCCAGGGCTGTGTGGGAGGCTAAGTTTGGCATTGATGGATTCAAGAGCAAGAGTAAGAGCAAGAGCAAGGGTTCCCCCTCCTGGTCCCTCTATAGCAACCTCAGCACACTGTTTGTACAAATGTGTGACAGGTGGGTGGGCAGCAGTCAGACTGTGATGCCCTCTACAATTGAGAGACATGTAGACCTCACTGCCAAAGCTCACACATGATTTGATACCGGCGGAGGACTTGAGTGGAGGACTGGAGGTCAACCCATGTCCTTGGAACTAAACCCCAGCAAGAGGAGACAACACAAGGAGCAAAGAGGATTAGGCCAATAGGGAGAAACTTTGAAAAGATAATTGGAAATGCTGAATTTATAGTAAATATTGTTTGAAATAGTCTTGGATCACTCATTTTGCAGCTTTTTGATGAAATCAAGATTTTGTTATTTCCTCAATTGTTTGGTGTATAATTATTTCAACCTTGCTCTTCTCTTAATGTTAAAAGCAAGAATATTTCCTAAAATGAATCTTTATTATTTAGGATTTTTTGGCGTAAACATTTTCGAACGAGAGATGTGTCATCGGTCTCCATCAGTTACCTCATTCCAAACATCCCGTCGATTGATGCTGCGGTTGAATTTCAGGATGAAGATGTGATTGTTCTTTTCAGAGGTTCTCTGGATTTATCTTTTCATACACTTTACACATCATTTAATAACTCAGAACACCGCATTTGTAGCCATTTTTTCTTATAGAAAAATAAATTTTCAGTTTCTCTGGTATTGAGCATGAGAGGTGACAAGATCATTTTATTTTCTATTGCTGTGAGCCAAGTAGATAACATTTTTAACTAGTAAATATTACATGAAACAGTCAACAGTCTTAGATCACACATTTTGCAGCTTTTTGCTTAAATCAAGATTTCGTTATTTCCTCTATTTTTTGGTGTGTAATTCTTTTTAATGTTATAATTCCACAGGATCTCAATATTGGAAAATCAGGGGATTCCAGATGTTGCCAGGCTTCCCTCAGAATATTCTTTCTCTTGGATTTCCAATATCGGTAACTCAGATCGATGCTGCATTATATATGAGGAACGAGAATAAGGCACTATTCTTTGTGGGAGAGCAGTACTGGAGGTATGAAGTTATGTAATGTTCCCCTATCTCTGATACATGTAAAGCATTTTAGAACCAACATTAACAACAACAACAACTTACGTTCACATGGCATCTTTCACAAAGCATAGTGTCTTGGAATGTAGCACATTGGCGGAGTTGAACGCTAAACAACAACAACAACAACAAGCTTCCATTTATAAAGCGCCTTTCACGTCAGGAGGACGTCCCAAGGCGCTGCACAGTTGGGTCATGACCCGAGCAGGGGGGAAATGGTCAGGGTGAGTGGAGGGAAGGAAGGGAGCGAGGAGGGGGAAGAGAGTCGAGAGGGGAGCTGAAGGGGGAACAAGGGGGAAGGGGATGTAACCATAGGCACAGTGGAAGAGGTAGGTCGTAAAGTGGGATTTAAAGATAGATAATGTGGGGATGGTGGAGGGACTGAGGCAGGGAGTTCCAGAGGTTGGGGCATAGAGAAGTTAAACTCAGTTTAATTAAAAGTATTGAGTATCATAAAAATGAAATAATTAAAATACAAACATTTTACATGATTCGTTAGTTGACACTTAAACATTCTTAAGAAGATAGAGATAATGAAAGATGAATTTACATGATCTCGTCTTTATCTCATCATTCTAGACATTAAACCAAGGTGCCATCTGCCTGTAAGAGAAGGGAGTTTCTCACAGTATTTTTGGCAAAAATACTCCAATTAAAATTGCTCATTCTCTTCATGACTGTTTGTAGGATTTTACTGTGCACAAATTGTCTGATATGTTTTACATAGTCACATTTGTGAATCCTGTGAAGCACTGTGAGCTATTTCAACAACGCAATAAGATGTTACATCAAGTGCAAAGATTATTATTTTATTTCTTTGCATTAAATGTGTGTTACTCTTTCTTGTATAGCTATGATGTGACCACCGGTTACATGGAGGAGGGCTACCCAAGGAGAATAGCAGATACGTTTCCTGGAATTGATGATAAAGTGGAGTCAGCATTTAGCCACAATGGTGGGTATAGAAGCAGATGAAATATTACGGGATTTGGAAAAAACTGAAAATTTAGTTCTGATTTGAGATTTAAATCATGTAATTCTCTGGATAAATCATTTGTTTTCCCTTTTCCTCCCCTCTAGGCTTCCTTTACTTCTCTAATGGAGCAACACAATTTAAATATGACAACAGGGAAAAACAAATTATCCATGTTTTCAGATCAAATGTTTGGTTAAATTGTAAATAGTTATTATTTGAAATGGAAGGTTCACAACAGCCAAGAAGTGATCAACCATATTTGTATCTGGGAGACTGTTGGCCAGGACATCAGGAGAAACTCACTTCTTTTTTCAAACAGCAGCTTGGAATCTTTAACATCCACCTAAACGGGCAGATGGGACATGGATTTAATGGCTCATCCAAAGATATGACTTTCCCCCCCCTTTCGGGAATTACCACCTAATGTAATTACCACCTCCTGGCAGGGAGTAAATTGGATGCTCAGCATTTACAGACCTTTAAGAAAAAGTAATATTCCGCATTGAATTATCTGTGGCACCATGAGTGGCTGAGTCTTCAATTTCTACACACCTGACTTCACCGTCCAATTACTGCTCCAGCTGAAATCAACTAGCTCTGAATCTGAAGCCTTTATATTAATGTGTTTTTTAAAAAAGATAAGAATGATTTGATTACGAAATTGCTTTGCAATGGGAAGAACCTAAGAGGCATTGATTACCTTACATCAGACCACTTGCCAGATTAATATATCTGTGGATTTCTACATGTAAGATGGTGTTTAAACTGAAGAATGCTTTCATTATCAGATTCCTTTTCATGAATTTAGTCTGCCTTTTATGATTATTTATCTACACACTCACTGACCAGGAGAATTAACAAAGCAAACAGATTCAGTGTAAATTAATCATGTTACAAAAAGTATAGAGAGGTACGGTGTGTTTCGATCAGCCGGAGAACAATTTAGTCTTTTTTGCTCAGGCTGCTTAGTGTGCAGCATGATACCATTTCTCTTACAATAGTATTTCAATTGAATTGATTTTTTTTGTTAAGCAGGGTGAGTTTCAACTACATTTAAAAACAAACTTGTGAAAGTTTGACATAAAGTAATCAGGCTTTGCAACCTGGTGCATAGGTTTGATTGAAAATAAATGTATTTGAATTTTAAATCCAGTACTGTTAAGTTGATTTTAACATATATCTTTCTGTCTAAATATATTTCACATAAAGAGAAACTTATATACAGTGTAATATATAATGTACTTTAATTATTTTTGCATTGTACAATACCAATAATGCATGTTGATTTTCTGACATTAAAGTATGAAATAAACACTTATACTCAACAAATATATTGTAATGTGTGGAGGTCATTTATTGAATATAGACAGGTCATACATCTACTCTACTGACATATTTCTGCCCATGCTGAATTGTTTAAGTACCTTAATTTACTGCACTTTCCTGAGTTGGATCCTTGAAGCTTTTTGTTGGAAGTCCAGTTCCCACCTCAGAATTTTCAATGACCTTGAACATACATGAGCCAATATACAGCATGATCTTCCTCCTTGTAGTTGGATTGGCCAAGAGCAGTTCCAGAGATGGCTTAAGATGGCTTGAGATGCATCAGAGATCACAGAGCACAACCTCAATTTTTGCATTTGATATAGGCCCTTATTGGGTCAGCGGGACATCTCAAAGTGCTTCCCAAGATTGACTATAAAGTGGTGTGACTGTGTGTATTTTGTGTGTATTTAACAACTCCCTTCATAACTGTACTGTCACAGAGAGAGGATACCACTAATGTCTGGAGTGGAATAGAACTGTAGAAATTTAGTAATGTAGTAGGAATCCGTAACCAGGGGACACAAGTATAAGGTAGCAACAACAAACAACAACAAAATTACATTTATAGAGCACCTTTCATGACGGGAGGACGTCCTAAGGCGCTGGACAGTCAGAGGTCAGAACCCAAGCATAGGGGAGGGGTAGGGTAGGGATGAAGGAAGGCAGAGAGGTAGGAGGGCAGCCGAAGGCACGATCGAAGAGGAGGGTCTTGAGACCGGCTTTGAAGGAGGCAAGGAAGGAAGTGAAGCGAAGGGACTGTGGGAGGGAATTCCAGAGTGTGGGGACAGAGAGGCCACAGATGGTAGGGTGGGTCGGGCGGGAGACATGAAGCAGGCCGTGGCCTGCTAAACGGAGGAGCGGACAGGTTAGAAGAGAGTCAGCAGGTCAGAGAGGTAGGAGGAAGCAAGGCCATGGATGGCCTTAAAGGTGAGGAGCCAGTGGAGTCGGGTGAGGGTGGGAGTGATGGGGTCATGGAACCTGTGCGTGAGAGTACACGAGCTGCAGAGTTTTGGATGATCTGCTGCTTGTGAAGGGAAGAGTTGGGAAGGCCGATGAGGAGGGAGTTCCCGTAATCAAGCCTTGATGTGACGAATGCGTGGGTGAGGGTTTCGGCAGCCTGAGGGGTGAGACAGTGGTGAAGTCTGGTAATGTTGCGGAGGTGGTGGTAGGCAGCGCCAGTCATGGCGCGGATTTGGGGGAGAAAGGACAGTTCAGGGTCAAATAAGACACCCAGGTTCCTGACTGGCTTAATGAGGTTGAGTGTGCAGCCATGGAGGTTGATGCTACCAGCGCCTGAGGCACAGGCGCGAGCCAATTAGGTGGGCCTCGGTCTCGCTGATGTTCAGTTGGAGAAAGTTGTCCCTCGTCCAGGACTTGATGTCAGACAGGTACTTTTGCATTGAGTTGAGGAAGAACTTCTTCACTCAAAGGGTGGTGAATGTATGGAACTCACTACCCCAAAGGGCTGTTGACACTCAGTCCTTGAACATATTCAAGACTGAGATAGATAGATTTCTTATTGCAAAAGGGATTAAGGGATATGGGGATAAGGCAGGGTTAGGTTATTAGCTGGAGTTAGATTAGAAGATAATAATAATAATAATAATAATAATCCTTGCATTTGATATAGCGCTTTTCACGTCGGGAGGACATCCCAAAGCGCTTCACAGAACACACTGTAAAGTGAATTGACTGTATATTTGTGGACGAACGCGGTAGCCAATTGCGTACAGCAATGTCCCACAAGCAGTCGTAGATTGAAAATGACCAATTTATTATTGTTTTGGTTTTTTTTGGAGGGATTATTATTAGGCGTGTGGAGTAAGGAAACTTGCCCAAGGTTTCGCCCTCTGCCTGGAATTGAACTTAGGTCTCTCACTTGCAAAGCGAGTGCTCTAGCCACTGAGCTACAGGACTCCACCATGATCAGCCATGATTGAATGGCGGGGCAGGCTCAAAGGGCCGAATGGCCTACTCCTGCTCCTACATGTTATGTTATGTTATGTTATGTTATGTTATGTTATGTTATGTTATGTTATGTTATGTTATGTTATGTTATGTTATGTTATGTTAGGCAGTCGGTCAGGACGCCAGTAGCCCTGGAGATGAGGGTGGAGGTAGAGAGGTAGAGTTGGGTGTCGTGGAGGGGACTGAGGACAGAGCCCTGAGCAACACCGCATGAGACGGTGCGAGGGCTGGAGGAGAAGCCATTTGCTGCAATGAAGTGGAGGCGGTGTGAAAGGTAGGACCTGAACCAGTCAAGGACAGAACCTTGAAGGTTGAGGTGAGAAGAGAGGCAGTGGGGGACGATTGAGTGGTCCACAGTATCAAAGGCGGTGGAGAGGATGAGGAGGCAGAGGGAGCCCTTTTCACACAAGGTCAGGATGTCATTTGTGACCTTGACCAGAGCAGTTTCTGTGCGGCACAGAAACCCAATTAGAGAGGCTCATGGAGGGAGTGGAAGGAGAGGAAAGAGTGAAGCTGGGGGGCAACGGCTCTCTCAAGGACCTTAGAAAGAAAAGGGAGGTGGGGGATGTGTTGGTAGCTGGATAGCTGTGATGGGTCGGGGGAAGGTTTCTTCAAGTTGGGGGTGATAGTGGCTGTTTTGTGGGGGTAGGAACAGTGCCAGATGACAGGGAGAGGTTGATGTTGCCGTCGAGGTGGAGCTGGGATTTAAGGAGAGGGATGGGGATGGGTTCCAGGGAGCAGGTGGTGAGCTTCATGGAGGATATGGTGGTGATGACAGAGGAGGAGGTGACAGGTTCAAAGATGTGGAAGCAACTAGGACATGTAGAAGAGAATTTAGGAGGACTTATTTCACGCAGCGGATAGTGAAACGCTGCAACTCACTGCCCTAAGCAGTGCTTAAATCAGATAATATAGATGTATTGAAGAGGAAGCTAAACCCTCACATGAGGGCAAGGGGAACAGAAGGGTATGGGAGAGTATGAGTGGACACTCATGTGGATTATAAACACCTGCATGGACTATTTGGGCCAATAACCAATGATTTGTTTCCTTGCTGTACATTCTTTGTAAATCTTTGCAGAAGAAAGGCATTCGACCCTTCGTGTCTGCGCTGATTTAAATAGTTGCAAGAGCCAGGACTTAAATATATAAAATGTCATCAGTCTTATCTGGAGTAAAATAAGAATAAAATAAGGAACATCTGTTTTCACCAATTCAAATGAATTATCTAAGTGTTCATTCCTGAACTGCTAAAAGAGTCAATGAATGCTGAAAAGGATTTTATTCTCAGCAGGGTTGATCAACTCTTACTCATGAAGCTGTTCTCAACAAATGTCTAAATATTTTGACGGGAAGGCAAGATTTAAAAGCTCCACCTGCTGGCTACACAATATAATTATCCTGTAATCTAAAGCATTATACAGTGTTTGTAACAGTGGTCACAAATAGCTACTCCTGCTGGCAACCAGAAGCACTTCACACCAACCCAAAGGAACTCAGGTCCAAAAAGTGGATCATATTGGCCTAGAATTCCTGCTCCTAGTGTGTGCTGAGTAGAATGCACCACATTCCAGCAGTGGGCACTTGATCAGTTATATAGGACAACGGTGCTCTCAACTTCCAAAGGATGCAGCTGATATAACAACGGACCCTAAATCCGGACCCAGAGGCAGGATCAGGATCACTTACAAATCTGAAGCAGGTTCAGCCAAATCATTTCCCATTCATTGAGACCCCTTTTTGGGTTACATAGATCACCTCGAACTGTGAAAAGTTTTGCTGATGCTGTAAATACCTCAGGCTGATTATGTAGGGCATTATGGAAATTGATGAACCACATAAGTAGCTTTTTTTTCTGATGATTGCCGATCCGTTAACATTAATTTAGTACAACCTTGTCTGGGGCTAAGCAGG